TAGTCTCAGGTACCTGCTTAATTTCATAGGGCTCCTCCACCTTGTCGTTATTGCAGAGATATCTTCATTTTTCTTTGCATCTGTAATCAGAAGCCCAAGTGTAAATGACCACCCATAACACGGTCCTTCCTCAGGTGCTTACTACTGAATACAGTCTCCAGGTAGGTCATAAATAATAAGTTACCATTCATGGCTTTATCTCTGCACCTGCTTTCACTGAAGGGAACCATGTCACAGTGCTGAATCTGTTGGCATCATTCTAAAGCCAACAAATGGAAATCTGTCGGATGAGAAACGAAGTATCCACCCATCTGTGTACGTGGAAGAGGGTGTCATTAGCTCCAAGTGCATAGTGCCAGAAGAGAGCAACATCAGTTTAGCAATGTCCCATATTGTGAGAACTCTCCACTATATCAGCAAATTCTGAGCATCTCTCCATCGCATTACTGGAGTTCCTCACTTCTGAACTACTGCTTTGGAACCAAGAAGGAACTGGGTCTAATTTATGAAACTTAGCACACCACCACCAAGTTTTTCTTGGGAAATTACATTAGTATCTTTATTATTTGTTTAATAGTGCAATGTTACAAATATATTTATAATTTAAAATGGTGCATAATGGTGTATCTCCATGCCAGGAGAACTTCTTTTTCCTCACATGTAAACTACATTTTTAAAATTAGGTATGATGATTGTGATAAAAATAGATTAGGCACCAAAGCTTTTTAGCATTATTGCTTTACATGGTTGATATGTGAGAAGACAGCTTGAGAAATGCCTCTCTAGGAGTTTTGAGGCTACTTGAAAGTGAGATAATCATTTATAGATATTACACCAATATGTTACAACTTCCTCTATAAATTGGCAGGCATTTCAGTCTCCGTCTCTCCCTTTCTGTCTCTGTCTCTGTCTCTCTCTCTCTGAGGGGGACTCTCATAACCTGAGGATTTCTCAGTGTCTCTCTTTGAGGGGAGGTTCATCACCTGATGATAGGAGAAAGGTTTGTAGTCAGGAAATCAAAAATTCTTGGAAATCAAGTGAGTGTGATTTGGTTAGAAGAAAAAATTGGTTTAAAAATTGCTGTATGAGATACAGGGCTATGGTAGAGGATTCCATTTCTATGACTTGTATGGTTTTCCTCTAGTAGAAGCCAGATATAGAGAGTATTAAATGTTCTAGTAAATGAGGCTGACAAAAGTAAGGATGAATGTAAAAGATCTGAGGCAGCCACTGGCAGAGAGAGAGAGAGAGAGAGAGAGAGAGAGAGAGAGAGAGAGAGAGAGAGAGAGAGAGAGAGAGAGAGAGACAGAGAGGAGAACAGACCAAGGTGATCCTGGGGGTATCCAGTGCCAGCTACCTAGGTCTCCTCTAGCCATGGACCAGAGTGTCAGACTCCAAAGCACAGGCTGGTTATCCACTGGGCAGGTGATTATGTGAGGGCCATGGAAACTCAAGGAATATCAGCCCATAGGAGATGCTCCAGATGAGATGTAGGATCCCAGGCTCTAGCTACAAATGTTACCTCACTGCAGCCAAAAGCATCCACAGTAACAAAGGATCCAAGGCAGAAGGTGGAAGGCCTGGAAGGCTACTTTGTAAAGGACTCATCCAGTCATGTTCCCCACAAGGATGTGTAAAATCTCCCTGCAGATATTAGAGCATTTAGCAATAAGAGAGAAAAGGGGTCTAGCAGTGAAACTGTATAAACTTAAACAAAAGGTCACAGATTTTAAAATAGCTAAATTATTAGCTCAATTAGCTCTCTTCTCTCAGCAAACCAGTTTGAAGGAGTTTGGAATATTGTTGGTAATAGTTAAAACCAAAATAGCAAACTGTGTGTGTTGTCACTGAGCACAAAGACCGCAGTACTAAGAAAAGAATATTACAAATCTAAGTTGTACACTCAACTTCACGTTTGCTACCTTGCTATGACTTTGAAAAATCTAAATATCTAAGTGCCACTATCCTTGGCCATTTCGTGATAACGTATCTGACTATGTGAAGCTGGGGTTACAGGGCATTTGAACTGGAATTACTACTCCCAAATGTTTGAGGAATATTATTTTCATTCATTTTTGCTGCTGTAGAACTTAGTGCCTGTTTTTTTGTTGTTTGTTTGTTTGTTTTTAATCTTCACCAATCCTGTTATAGCCTCCAGTAGGGAAATGGCCAAAACTGAACAACACATAAAATGTGTCCTCCTTAAAACCTGATTTCTCTATTTCTTTTCTGCTCTGCCCTTTTAATACTTTAAAGAGGTACTTCTTTCTGCCATCATCATCATTCCTCTGATGTAAATGAACAATTATTTACAACAAAACCCAAGGTCATGAATGAGGGCAGGCAGTAATTTAATCTGTGAAAACCAGAGGCTTTGTCTGGTTAGTGTGGTGACAGCCTAGTAACCCAGGTCATTGCTTCCTGTTCACACTCACTGAGCAGTTGTTATTGCCTCCTTCTTTTGCTCTTCTTTCTCCTTTCTCCTCCTCAGGCTCCCCCTTATGCTCCTTCTCTTCAGGTCTAGTACACACACACACACACACACACACACACACACACACACACACACACACCAGGATTCCCATTTTAAAGAAAATAATTCAAAGGATAAATGCAATCTTGGAAATTTTCAAAATCAGGTTGAAATTTTCCTGAGAGTTAAGTATCAGTCAGCCCTGCATGTTCAAATAACCCCTGAAACAGTAAGATTCAAATGGAAGCTGGACAACTTGCAAGGCTCAGTACATGTGTTTATTCAGTTACTATCACAATGGCGACAGGTTAAGAGCACTGCATTTCTAACCTCTTAAGATGATAATGATGGAGATTTCCTTTGTAAAGTTCACTGTTCTTAACAATTAAAAAGACCTGATTTTAACAGAAGAATGATTATATATATATATATATATATATATATATATATATATATATACTAGTCTTAGGAAAAGATCTAAATTTTCTGGCTTATGATCAAAAGCCTATTTGTTCATTTCTTTAAACAAAACATGAGACAGTTTAACTCTTGGTTAGTACTTTTAGAAAAGCATGGTGTTCTCAAAGCAAATGTGCACAAAACAGCTTTTTCAACAGTGCATTCAGTCATTGTATGTCACATCAGTGGGAACCTGAGACTCCCAGGTCCATTAAACAACCAACTGAGACACATGCTTTCAGTGCCTCTTATGTACAAACCAGCACACTAGAGTACAGGAAACACAAATGAGTCTTTGCTCTGCTCAGATTTCTAGCAGAGTTAACAAATACAGACATTATTTCACTCCCATTTATCAACAGAAGTGCATTGTTAACAGGATGTATGTAAAAATCATCTCTGCTGGGACCTTGAAAAAGGCAGCAATATCTTCAGCAGTGATTCAAGTCTCTGACTGACATTTCTCAGTTCCAAGTTTGAGTGCTACTTGAACCTGAAAGGGAAAATGTCCCAGCTGGAGTCACATTAGTCACTTTGTGGCTGTCTTTTTAATTTCTTATGGACTTGTGACAGTAGGACAAGATAAACAAGTCTATCTTTCTCTATATAGGTGTATATATACATACATACATACATACATACATACATACACACACACGATTTCTGCATAGCAGCACATATACACACATACACACATCACAGACAGTGTGATTTTTCCCCTATGTTCCTTGGAACACCAGGAATTCAGGTCTTTCAGTCTGCACTGACAGATGTTAACCCAAATAACCATTTATTTATTTTAATAAGACAAAAGCTGCAATAAAAAAGTATAAAAAAAAATCTCCAAACTTCACTGGACACAGCAAAACTATGAAGGGTTGAGAAAAGGGGAGGAGAATTCAAGAGGGAGAAACTTTTGAGGGGATCTTAGGGTGGGGGTGGCTTTTCTCCACTCCTGCTCTGTTCCACACACTGAGCCCCCAGGAGTCCCAGGAATATCCCTGTTAGGCAAATAGAGAAACACAAAGCAGAAACACACTACTTCCAACACCACAAATAAATAAATAAATATGTTAAACAAGAAATAACTTATTAGGCACCGCTTGAAAGGCAGGGAACCTCAGGAACAGGATAGGCTGCAGCATCAGACCCAGTTTTGGCGAAGGCCCTACGGTTGTCACCAGAGGAGCCTGAGTCGGACCTGTAATTAACGCTAGAGCAGGAAACCGAATCTTTTGTTATTCTAGGGAGGAATCCAAGAGGAACTGCCCTGCCATTCAGATGCACCTGCCAGGGTGCCTAAGTCATTCACCAGCGGGGAGCGCCCCTTAATGGGTCTTTGGAACCCAGTGCTCAAGTTCTGAGCTCTAAGGGGGAGAGTGGCTTGGTGGTTTCTATGACCCCCACATCCACAACCCAGGGATCTTACAAACCAAACTTGTCCTTTTACTTGCTCTCAGCTCCTGTTTATTCTACCCCAAAGGAGGGCGTGAGTGGAACTATACCAAGTCTGGGGTTCTGAATGCACATTAGCTCTGCTCTGGGTGGGGGTGGAGTTTGGAGCCTTGGGAGGAAGTCACCCGGTTATCCTCAAGCTATACTTCTTTAAAAGTAAGGCTGTGCAGAGAGAGAGCGGGTGATTGGGGGACAGTCTGATAGCAGCTCTGAGCAGAGACTGGCACGCTGATCTGCACAGCGTCCAGGGTTGAGTGCTACCTGTGGACTCAGCCCAAATGAAACACACAGCAATAACCGTGGTTCAGTATAAAGAAACAGAAATATCGACTCGAAAGGAAAAGGATCAAACTGAATTGGCACGTTAAGTTTGTGGTTTGAACTGGCAGAACTGGGAGGGAGCATCGAAGTTACTGGGTTTGGAGAAGAGAGTTGTTCAGACTAGCAAGCGCTGTGTAGGAAAAAGAAAGGGCTGAGAAGGTGGCCCGAAAGTCTTCCCAGTTGACCCACAAATCTCTCCATTTTATCTTGGTCACATGGCTTTCCTAAGTCTGGCTAACCAGGAGCGCCACTTCTGCACCTGCTATCCTGTTATCATTCCTCGCACCCGCTCCTCCCTCCCCCTTTTGACAACTCTCCCTCTCCTGGCAGTGCCAGCCTCAAAGTGTGCTGATCCTGGAAGCGCAGGTGCCATTACGGAAAACGCCTCCGGACTCCAGGTTCTCGGGCTGGAAGTCCTCCACACTGTAGGCGCGACTCTTCAGGGCTGTGGCATAGTAGTCGACTGGCTCCTCGGCAGCGTTGTCCATCCAGCTGAGACACAGGATGCGCTGGAAAGAGCGCTTGAAGTTGTCAGACAGGAAGCCGTAGAGGATGGGGTTGGCACAGCTGTTGGCGTAGCCAAGGATGACAGACAACTGGCTCACGGTGGCATCGTCTTGCTCAGCGAACACATTGACCAGCTGTACCACGTAGAAAGGCATCCAGCAGATGACAAACACCATCACCACCATCATGACCATTAAAGTGATCTTGCGCTCTGAGCGCTTGCGCTGTTGCCAGCCGGCCTTAAGGGCCACCATGCGCATCTTGGCAATGATGAGCACGTAACACAGACAGATGGCCCCGACAGGCAGCAGGAAGCCCATGAGAAACGTGTATAAGACGAAGCCCACCAGCCAGCGTTGGGCAGGCTCCGGCATGAGCATGTTGCAGGCCACCGTGCCATCGCTGTTGGTTGCTGTGCGTGAGAAGACCACGATGGGCAAGATAACCAGCAGAGACAGAACCCACACGCCCAAGTTCACCACCTTGGCTACAGTGGGACGACGGTAGCGCGCTGCCTTGATCGGGTGCACCACAGCCACGTAGCGATCCACACTAAGCACAGTCAGACAGTAAATGCTGGTGAACATGTTGACCGCGTCTACGCTGAGCACAAGGCGGCAAAGTAGCGCGCCAAAGGGCCAGTGGCGCAACAACGTGGAAGTGACCAGAAAGGGCACGCTGAGCATGAGCAGCTCATCAGCAATGGCCAGGTTGAGAATGTAGATGTTGGTTGCAGTCTTCATTTTGGCATAGCGCAGGATCACGTAGATGACCATGGAGTTCCCACACAGTCCCACCAAGCATACCACGGAGTAGATGAAGGAGATGAGAATGGCGCTACCCTGGCCCTCGCTTAAGGTCCCATTCTGGGAAGCGTTTCGTCCTGGCTCTTCCATGCTGTGCGCTGAGCCGGTCCCGGGGCCCCTGCTGCAGGCGCCTTCCCCGCAGCTGCCTGTGCTAGGGCTAGGCGAAGAGGAGGGAGAGGAGGCGGTGCCATTGGGGAACATCCCGGTTGAAACGGCCGTGAGGTAGCCGGCTAAGACGCTCACCTTGCGCCCTTGCTGCCTGCGCCCTCCCAAGACTCAAGGCTCCCAGCTCGCAGTTCACCGCCGCCTGGCGCCGCCTGGCAGAGCGCAGCAGCTGCGGCGAGCGCGGCTCCTACTGAGGTCGGCCGGGCGGATCGCCCAGTGGCTGCTTGCACACTGTCTTTTGCAGCTCTGTGGGACCAGGACAGAGAGGAGTGTAGAGAGGAGAGGCCAAGAGGCTAGAGCCCAGCGCGGTGCAGCCATTAAGTGGAGCGGCTCCGGACTGGTGAATGATTAATAAGCAGCACCATCGCGTCAGCAGCTACGAAGTGGGGGGGGGCACATAGGTGGTTTATTTTCCCCTCCCAGCCTCCCTCCCCCTCTTCCAGTTCCCTCTAGGCTCAACTCAAAGATCGCTTCTGATTTCTCTCACAGCATCTCCAGGCTCTCCTAGGACAGACCTGAGGAGTTTCTCTACCTTTCTTAAGGGTAGGTACCAGCTAGGAATGCAAATTCTGTCCCATCCCACCCTACTCCTGCTCTAAGTAAAAACTGAAGCAAACCCCAGACATGGATGTCTGGAGTTAATCTTCATTTCTTCCAGTTGCTGCTCTCTTCTGGTGATGGGAGGGGCCCCACCTCTCCCCAGCTGCTCTCTGGGACCCTAAACACCCACCTCCTTCCCCACTTGCCCAGTCCTTCAAACCTGCAGCTGAAGATTTCAGGCCTTCGGATCCCAAAGTCGATTGTCACCAGATGGCCCTTGCAAAGTGCTTGTGAGGTCTGGCGGTGCGCTGACGTTCTTTGCAAGCTCCAACTCCTTTTGGGGCTGGCCACTGCCCAAGTGCCCAAGCAAACACTGAGTAGTGGAAACCAGACCTAAGCCAATAATAGCATTATGAACACGAAGGACTACAGTGGTGTGTTCAGGGATGCTGAGTTACAACACGCGCCACCCTCCCCTCTGTAGCAGGGAGTGTTCAGGGAAACTGAGTTAACCATTGCGAATCTCTAAGGAAGCTTGTAGTGCCCAGAGCCCCCTCCATCTTCCCCAGGAATAGCGACTGTAGAAACCAGGTCGCGGGGCAGAGCACTCAGGAGGAGGCTAGCACTCCCTCCGGAACCTGCCAGGCACGGTATTGGAAATCCATGTAGGTGTTCACTAGGGAAGGATTAGGCTGCGCAGCTCATAACAGCTGCTGAGGCGCGTGTCCCTGCTGTACTTTGTACCCTGGAGAGTTGGCAGGGCAGAGGATGGAGGTAGAGAGTGCCAAATCCTGAACAGGTAGGCATGACAGCTCTAAGTTCACGAGTGGCTAGTTGCACAGATGATGGAACTGTCATCACACCCGGGATCAGTGGCAAGGTATTTAGTCTTTCCCAGGTGGAATACCAAGGGATACTAGGGCCTTGAGGTATGACCCCTTTGTGGTCCTAGTGCATTGAGACATGGATATCAAGGCCCAGCAGGCCCAAAACTCACTGACATCTTCTGGGAACTGCAGGCTTCTGCTTAAGAAAGAATAGATGTTGATTTTTTTTTTTTTTTTAAAGGGATCCTGGGATTTTCCAGAATTCTGAGCCTGGTGTCTCCCCCTGTCAAAAGATTTAGTCCCCTTTTCCTTTCTCATGAATGCTGCTGTGTTCCACAAAATCCCTGTAAGCCTTTGCCTGAAGAATGCCAACCCCCTACTACCCTCCCATCTTTGCTGCTTGTAATTGTTCCTTAGTTATCTTGAGGGAGCACGGGGAAGGGGGGTGGACTCTCACATGTACTTTAAGGGGTGGCAAAATTAAAAATTAAACTCATGGAAGCTGTTTCTACCAGACAGTCTGGAATGAAAAACTGGACACCACATTTAAAGTAAAACACTTATACTCCATGTCCTATTGCTTGTTGCCAGTGATTGCTTACACACAGATGCTTTGGTTTCCAAAACTAAGTGCTGCCGGAAGGGAAGGAATCACTGTAGTGTCCAGGATGGCAGTCAGATTAAAATCAATGGCCACAGACTCTCTAAGAGTGTGTACGATGGATGCTGAATTATTCATGAGAAAAACGGTGGCGTGGAATTTGAAATTTGGGAGGATTGGGGCTGCTAAAGGCATTACTTTACCTAAACAAACCATCTTGCCTGAAGTGGAATGAGACTTGGAGCTTAGTTATGTTTCTAAAACTGAATATACAAACGGCACACACAGAGGGGGAAAATGTCTATTGGGTTTAAAAAACAAAACTGAGATTTGTCCTAGAGGAGTATTTTCCTTGCCAACCCCGGACATGATTTCAATGCCTTTGCCAACCACTGACCAAGGCACCTGGCTGCACATCTGGGATACTCTTTCAAAGGTCACCATTTGCAGGCATTGGCTTTGATCTTAGTGACTGGGGCAGGAAAAGGAGTTTATGAAAGGCAGCTTTGTTGTGAGAATTTCATTAAATTCACTTTTCAACTAATCACAGAGGAAGAAAATAATTCATTCAATTAGGTTTCACAAACCTAATTTCACAAACAAATGAAGAAAACAAGACTAGTATATCTCTTTCTGGTTGTGAAGGGGTTTTGATGATGCATTTATACTTTAAAGAGTGTGACAGAAGAAAACATGAAAGAAAAAATAAATATAAACAAAGAGGTGAAAATTTGATCACTCATGAATGTTCATAAAAATAAAATCATGAGTCACATCTTTGCAAACAAGTTCAATGATCTTTCAAAAACCGGATGACCCAACATTTCCAACTTTGCCCTTTATCTCTCAGTATTGAAACCAAGTACTGGAACAACAACAAAGATAAATAAAGGAAATAAATAACCCAATTAACTACCAGATGATATAAGTGTGAACAAAAATATGGTACATTAACCAGTAGAGTACTACTCTTCCTTTAAACGAATAAAGTGTCAGTAGTATAACACGGTATTGATAAACTTAAAAGATGCTTTAAAAATAAGAGAAACCAGACTCAAAAGGCAATAGTTACTTGGCTGAGTGTCTATGGCTAGTCTAGACTAGGTACATACAGAGACGGGAAATGGATTAAAGATCATCAGTAGTTACTTGGTTCATTATCTATGACTAGTCTAGAATAGGTACATATAGAGACAGGAAGTGTATTAATGACTATCAGTGGCTGGAGGAAGAAGGAACTGGGAAAGGGACTACTTGGTGAGAATAAAGTTTCTCTTGGAGCAAGGAAAGTATTAGAGAATTTAACAATGGTAGTAGTTTCAGAACAGTGCACCTATACAAAACCCCCGAATGACACACTTAAATGACTAAAATTATGGATTTTATGTGAATTTTATTTCAATAAAAAGCATTTGAGCTGGATATAAGCCATGCTTCTTTTTATCAAATCTTCCCACTTCTGTATATCTTATTGTATCTGTGACTCCCTCTGCCCCAAGAGCAGATAAAGCAAAAGACACTTCTGGACTAAGCACTATAACATGACATTGGAAACCTAGAGCGTTCTTTTCTAATATTTTAATTTGATATCTCTAAGGTCTTGAAAAGCTGTCCATCCTCAAGCTCTCACATCTTTGGTGACCTTTTTCTCCTGTGCCTCTTCCATGCTACGAACATGTATAGAGAAGAAAAGCGGGTATTTTCTAAGAAGAATGAAAAAGCCCAACTAAGAATTGCAGGTTCTGAAGCAGACTTTTCCTTCCATCATTATAAATTTTCTCTGAAAGCTAAACTCCCCTGTGTGGTCTTGTACCTGGTACACATTTACACATTTGTTTACTAAACCCATCATACTGTACTGTTGGTTCATATCTATTTGTCTGTGCCTTGCTTAGAAGCTTTTTGAGAAGAAAAACTATTTTATTGAGCTTTCTGTTCCCAGAACCTAGCAAAATTTAGAGAAATTTCTCTAAATCTCCTTGTTTTTTATTTTAAAGATACTTCCTTTTTCTGAACTAGCTCATAAATTACAGATATAAAGACATAAGTATGGGTATTTAGAAGAACTTCAATGTCTGGGTAATATCACCATCATTAATAATTCCTCATACATCTAAATCATTCTGAAAATTTTTGATTTGCATATCCTATACCAACAATTACAATGCTGACGAATCATTCATTGATCATTCTTGGTCTTAAAATTCTTGGCAGAGAAAGGGATCTTGGAAAGGAGTGGTACATGTCTTAGTAGCTAATGATGGTTATTTAATAGTATCATGCAGTGTGAAAGCCATTATACATGGAAGATCATTTCTTTTTAATTGCAATCCTGAGTCTCAGTTGGTTTGGTGAAATAGTAATTATCAGAAGCTCAAACTCTATGTTTGTAAAAAAAAAAATGCTAATGTGGTTTTTCCAGTTGGAACCTATATTCTAATCCATTCCAGGGGCAAATGTAGTTCCTGGAACACACTCTGCACTCAGCCTCAGTCATGTTCAGCAACACCTGTCTGGCCTGAAGGGAGCAAGCTGAGTATAAGGGGTAAGCACCACTCAGCAATATGGCCCAATGTAGAGTATGTGGCACTTGGGAACCATCTGCCATGAAGCAGTTAATGAGATGACAGTCTAATAAGAAAATTATTAGGGTACAAAGTGGCTATCTGGCTAAACAGCAACCTTAGACTCCATCTCCCAGGGATACCCAATCACTTCACAGCAGCCCAGGCAGCCTGTGGTGAAGTTCATCACCAATCTTAGCAAACCCACTGGCCTGCTGATTTTCCTATTGCCTCTTCCGTGAAACAGCATGGCAGTGTCTCCTTTGTGCTTTCAGAAAAGACTCATACAGAGTAACAGCTCATTCTCCCCTATGGATTCTCTGTTGCTAAATAATGCTTCCAAGAACACAATACAGCACATATATAAAAGTATTCATTATTATTAATGGATAAATAATGGAATAGAAATGGCCACATGCTACCTGGATTACTTTGAATAGTCCTCACCAGCAATGCATTTTTTTTCTGTAATAAAGCTTTTATTATTTAAGATGGGTAGCATTA